TGCACCCTTTCAGTCATAATCCTTGAAGCCACTTGCATGTTTTCTTTGTCTCCCATTAAATCATCTTTATAAAACCATTTTGGTAATAACTTGTAAGTATCAGGAAATTCCTCTTTACATTTGACAAAATGATATTTCAGAGGTGCAGCTGATAAACACTAACTTCGTTTTAAACCAAATAAAAACTTTACTGCAGTTCATTTCTTGATATGAATTAGAACTGATGTCATTAGTCCTGAAGAATTTGGTAACATTTCTATCACTAGGATCGATCAAAATTAGTAAGTATGCTTGTTTTATATCAGCTAAGAAGGGGATTTTGTTCTGCCAAAACCTTAAAATAATTTCAAAGAGATTTGGATGTAAATTTAGTCCTTTAAATAAACAGTCATAAACTGAAAGCTATCCTCCTTCATAGGAAGATCCAACAAATACAATTCTAAGTTAATTTATAGATTTGCCCTCACGAATGACCACATGGTAGGGTAAGTAGAATGAGTATTCAAAATATGATACTTCATTATATTCTCAATGATACTTTCCTTATGATACTCATCAATTACCCTTTAATCCTTAAAAATAGATGTATAATTTTGTTATGTAGAGAAATTATCTGATAGCGTTATAAAAATTAGGTGAATGATTTTATGATTTATGGAAATCTTAATTTTTATTTGATTATGAATTATTTATTTTAAGGCTTTAATTTTGGGGAAAAACAGATGCTTCTGGGAATATTATTTAGTTTAAAAGAGTATTATTTATTTTCCTCTATTTGCAAATCTTGTACAAACTTGTATTCATTGTGAAAGAAGCAGGGAAAGGGAGGCAATTTTTGCCAAGTCATGATTTTGCGCGCTTTGTCCTTTAGAATGTTCGAGAAAGAATTTTCATTGTTAGTTGACCTTAAGAGAGGAAAGTACGTGACAGAAAGGTCAAAGGTTGCTACTTGTCTTTCAATGTAAGTCATTCAGGTTTTTGGCAATTGAGGGTCCGGTTGTTGGCTAAGTGAAGAAGGGCGCGCATGCGCGATCACCCTTATTTCCGCATTCTGGAGTTGAAAACGAAGATTTTGCCATAATTAAGGGGGCGATAAGTGAAGCCATAGTGGGAGCCCGTTTTGTGAAAGAGACGAAGGAAATTCGAGTTGGATTCACACTTTTTGGCTCACTCTCTGACTGACTCTCTGACTTTCGGGCTTGCGGGACTTGTGGACGTTGCTCTTGAAAACCGGCTTGAAGGAGATAGATGTAAGTGACTACGAAAGGTGTTTTCCGGCGGGGAGCGGCAAATATGCTCCCCGGCCGCGTTTTGGTTAAGAGGACTCTCTTACTTACTGACATTTTGACTCACTCACTCTTGGACTCGCGCACTTACTGGTTGGCTGGACTTGTGGATGTTACTCTTGAAAACAGGTTGAAAAGCGAGAGAGAAGATGTAATTACTAAGAAAAATGTTTTCCCGGCGGGGAGCGGCAAATATGCTCCCCGGCCGCGTTTTGGTTAAGAGGACTCTCTTACTGACTGGCGGGTGGAACTTACTTGGGACGTTACTCGTGAAGCTTGCTCTTGGCATGAGTAAGAACAGGCGAGCCGTAATTGCCTAGAAAAAACGTTTCTGACCTGAAGCTGAAAACCCTCTACCTTGCGGCGTGCTGGTAAAGAGGCTAAATTTGAACGAGTTACCTGCGTGTTGACATAGGACTTTCAGGACCAAGCGGATAGCCGTCCTGGGCAGCAGTGCTCCTGTTTCTGTTCTACAGTGGGAATTGGCGCCTACATTTTTAGAACCAGTGTCAGTGTCAAGATGAGCCCGGCCGACATCAAACGCTTGATAAGATACGAGTCCTCCACTTCAAGATGTCCCCTCAAGATAAGTTTTATTTTTTTTAGTGTGTTTGAACTTTAGGCAAGCTGTTCAAAAACGTCCTTAGCAGTAAAAACAACGTCGAATCTAAAATTTAACTCTCATGCCTTAAATTGTTTCCCTTTCCTTTCTTTTAAATTACCAGACAAACATTAAGTTTTTTTTTATGAATTTAAATGAAAAGACTCTCAGATGAGGTTAAGATTTTTCTTATTGTGATGTAATTGAATAAAAACTGATATTTAATCTGGAACCTCTTACAGTATGTTTTCTTATATATTTAATATGTTTTTCCTATATTTCTTGTATATGTTTTTCTTATGTTTTCGATCTCTTCACGGCGCGGTCCCGGGATCCGGATGCATTTTTTTTCACAACGCAAAAATGCTATACACGTTTCACTATACGATCACTAAAATTTTGTTAGTTGGAAAATTCTTAAGAGTTTAGTTTTCCTCCCTAAGAGGAAGTAACCTTTTCACGGCAAGTAGTTTCATATTTAACATTTAACATATAGGAATTTCAGATATAACATGGTACCTTGAAATAAAGCTATTTAACCTTGGAAGTCGAAACTTTCTTCTATATAACATTGGTGCCGTGAAGTAAGATTCATAACATTATTTCCCGGCCTGAACTTAAGCAATTTAACAATTTCTAAATCTCTTAACCAACCAAAACTTCAAAGTGTTTCTGAGCCATTTCTGTAGTATTCACTAATTTCTCCTACATACCTGATTTCCACAGCAATTTTACGCAATACAGTCAAAAGTCGTTAATTCGGACACCCATAATCCGGACCTCAAAGCTAAAATCTTTCTGCGCATGTGCCGCGTTGACGCATACTCATAGGCGTTTTACGCGTGCGCGCAAGACATTTACAATTGCGCAGAATACGTTTTCGCGTGCGCGTTTAATGTATAACGGACATTATAAGCTAAAATTATCTAATTATCTATTTCAGTTAATGTTGATGATTGCGTTGTTCCTTAATCTTCGAATTGGATCCGGCTTATTATTTTTTGCAGACTGTAAGAGCAATTTTATAAAAGTAAGCTTGAACTTTCGATTATGTCAAATAGAATGCTGGAGCTCCCAAAGGATCTAGAAAACGAAAGTATGATTCGATGTCCATCAAACAAAAACCGAATTGCTATAAAAAATGGATAAAGGTATATCCCTTGTTTATCTAACCGTTCCGAAATCTGTTTATCAATTTAACGTTGCTCTCAGCGCGGCGGGGGGGGGGGGGGGGGGGTCGGCGCGCGCAATGAACTGGAAGTTGCGGCGCGCAATGAACTGGAAGTTGATCTGTCACCGCTATCGTTATCTTCAGAGCAGATATTTTTATTTTATTCGGCTTATAATTCCTTACTAAATGTAGTATTTAATCTCGATGTACTCCGTCCTTGATATGATTTAAATCAAATTCCTCGTCATTATAAATATCGCGAATACAAATCAAATAGTTTTCTGGTTGCAATTTTCTAATTTCGGCTATACGCATGCGCGCGTTGAAAGAAATGTTTAATAAAGTAAACAAATAAATATTATGCTTCTTTTTTTGTAAATTTTGATACCCTTTAGATCATAATTGCTCATTATTTTATAAATTACGGTTTCATATTTTTAATTTTATAATTTCTGCATGCCATCTTACCAGATTTAAACTGATGATCTATAATCCGGAAAAATCGATAATCCGGAATCGCCGAAGTCACGACGAGTCCGGATTAAAGACTTTTGACTGTATCTTCCTCAAGTATTTCAATATCAAGTATTTTCTATTGTATTAAATTCAAACACGTTTTACTTTTCTTCTTCTTTTTATTTTTTTTTTTTTTTTTTTTTTTTTTTTTTTTTTATTTTTTGTTATTTGTAATACCTAAACTTTCCAGTTCCCAGAAATGCCTGAGTTCAGCTGACATAGAACTTTAGTCACCCCAAACCAAGTTTACGAAAGTAGTTTTACTCAAATCATCACATTTTATCTGCAGAAACCATCCAAATTAAGTATTTACAACTACTATTGAAGAATTTAACCTTTCAAAACCTTTTGTGAAATTCCAATAAAAATCTGATTCTACCAGCAAGGAAACATCATTATCACAAAATACTTGACTATATCCACACGTTAAAGTGAATCCCTTTGCCTTCATATTACCACTTCATTTCCATCTAAAATATTTTGCAATTGGACCTGCACTCTATGACAAGTTTACAACCAAGGATCTTTTGCTCCAAATGAATAATTCTTTAATGTTTCTGGCTCTAGACGTTCCACTCCTTAGACACTCCACATACTTTTTCACTCCTGTTATCAAACATTGCAATAACTATATCTGATGATTTACAGCCAATGATTACTGTTTTAACATACTGCAACAAAATCATGTTCCAATCATTTACAACTGAATTGGAAATAGTAGGTTGAATTTCTATTTCCTTATGCTTTTCTTCTTCTGGGTTTGAATTAGATCTGCATTTGCTAGAATTTTCAAATTTAAAACAAATAGCATTGGCATGTCTGAAGGAACACTGTTTTGTGTTACATTTTTTTGCAAAACAATGTGTCTTACACCATAACAGACATTTCCCTTCCTTAAAATTAATTTATACCTTTTTTTGCTGCATGGTCATATTTTCACATTCAGTCTTATAGTGACTTTGACTGCAGAATAAATAAACTTTTGAATTTTTGCCATCAACATGTTGGTTGCCATGACTTGCAACCGAGGAAGTTTTGTTTTTGATTCAGAAATTATTTTGTTTATGTTCGTTCAGATAAAATTTATTATATGAAGATAAATTATTCGACCGAATACCAATCATTTTTTTTCTCTTACAGGGATTGCATTATGTAAAAATTTCATCAATTCCTGTAAATCAAGACAGTTATTTATATTTTGCTTAAAAAATTCAAGAGTCAATTCTCCTGGCAGATTGTAATAAATATGCCACGGGACATTCTACAGATTAAACTTCTGCATTTTCTTCTGTAGCCTCTACTGGATTTCCCCCTTTCTTTTTCTTGGAAAACTTGTCACCTATCTTATTAGAATGTTTTCTAATATCACATAACTAATAGAAAGTGAATGATATATATTTTATGCTAATATGATTTATTTATTTTAAAGGAGAAGTGGACACACGATTTACATTTTGCAGTGTAGCTAGTTTGGCTTTGTTGGTAAGTAAATTTCATCATCTTTAATTTAAAATATTTTTTTCAAAGTTTTTTTTTTTTTTTTAGTTAAAACAGCAATAAAAGAATATTAGTAAATTATTTTGAATTTAAGATTTTTAATTAGTAATAATAATAATTTGCGCACTTTTAATCCATCTACTTCACAGCAGCAAAATGTTATTTTTTTTTATTATAATATTTTTATGTATAAATATGCTAGGAAGTTTTTTGGAGAAATCTGTAATAAAAGTATAGAAGCATATCATTATTACATCCTTTATTAAGTTGTGTAAATTTGTAATATAAGTCAGAAATGTACGAGAAAATACTCGTATATAAATATGACAAAGGCAGCTGCCTAGGGTTATCTTTAAAGGGGCCAACTAATTCGTTCTTTCAAGTAATAATTAAATAAAGCATATTTATCTTTAATTTATTATGCTGAATTTATACAGGTCGCCAAATGCCCTAATCACTTAGGGTGTCTAAAATGTTCAAGCCTGGCATGATATGATGCGTGAATAGCAACATTTTTATAATTTACTAACACTTCTGTATGTTCTTGGTTAACTCAAGATGAGCAATATAAAACGATTCCTTACTTATAGAAGTTCAAGGGTTCCCCCATCCCCCCTTTTTTTCCCATTTTGATTATTAATATAAATGCATAATGAAATTGATTGTGTTAAATTTTTATGTCAGGATTTTAAATTAAGGTAAAATATAGCTTCAGAAATAAACTAAATTGCAATTTTACTTGCGTTAAGATTTTAAAAAATGTAAATATATTGTGATAACTAAAGACCAGGGCCGTTCCTAGGCCATTGTCTACCTATGTACTTTTTAACATTGCCTCCCCCAAATTTAAAAAAAGTGCTCAATGCAGAGGCGTAGCTAGGGTTTTCGGCACCCGGGGACAGCTGAAGATTTTGTGCCCTTTTCTCTGTGCCAAAATTGGAAAACATTTCATTCTAAAATTTCGTAACATCAATTTTGCGCCCCCTGAATGCTGCGCCCAGGGACAGATGTCCCCCAGTTACCCCACCCTAGCTACGCCACTGCCTCAATGATTAATAAAACTTTTATTTCATACTCACCAAGTACTTACATATGACAATTTGTATAAAACGTACTACTTACATATGACAAGTACTAATTTAATGAATTTAACATATTTAGGCGTAGTATCATGAGAGTCCAGCTGCCCCTGATTTTGGCCGCCTGCATACTTTTTTGCGCTGCACCCCCGCTAGGAACGGCCTTGCTAAAGGCTCAGAATTAAACATTGTAAGGAAGAAATAAAATACTATGCTTTATGTCGATTTATTACTGTAATGCATATTTACATCAATTTAATCTGTGGGATATAACACAAAATGAATTAATCATTTGTGTTAAAGAGGCATTTTTTTTCTTTTCTTTATCTTTTTTTTTTTTTTTTTTTTTTTTTTTTTTTTTTTTTTTTTTTTTTTTTTTCCTACTCAATGCAATTTATAAAAGTTAAGATTTCTAATACTATAAAGGATTGAGTTTCTTAAATAGGAATCTAGAAGTATGAATAAACAACAAGTATTTTGTACTGAAGCACATAACATATGGCATTACAAAAAGCTTTTCGTAGATACAGTAATGGCCATATATCTATAAAAGTTATCAGTTATAAATATTGTAAATTAGATAGATATACAGTCAAAAGTCGTTAATCCGGACTCATCGGGACTTCGCCGATTCCGGATTATAGATCATCAGTTTAAATCTCGTAAGATGGCATGCAGAAATTACAAAATTTAAAAAAATGAAACCGTAATTTATGAAAAAAAGAGCAATTATGATCTAAAGGTTATCAAAATTTACAAAAAAAGAAAAGCTTAATATTTATTTGTTTACTTTATTAAACATTTCTTTCAATGTAAGTTGTTTAAGTTGCTTCGTTTTATGTGATAATACTTTCTCTTTAATTCTATAAACAGACATAATTTCTTGTTCAGTTACAAAGTTCCGCTGTCAGTTACAAAGAAGTCCCGTTAATTGCTGTGCCGAGAATACCGACTAACTTGTCAATCTAAATTTTTTCGTTTTCACTTACCTCTCTATCACCTTCTTCATGTCTTTATCCATTTTTTGCAGCAATTCCACTTTTTAATTGTTGGTTGGACATGGAAACATCTACTTTCGTTTTGTAGATCTTTGGAAGTTCCAGCATCGGAAATTCTATTTCGACATAATCGAAAGTTCAAGTTTACTTTTATAAAATTGCTCTTACAGTCTGCAAAAAATAATAAGCGGGATCCAATTCGAAGATTAAGGAAACAACGCAATCATTAAAATTAACTGAAATAGATAATTAGATAATTTTAGCTTACACCGTCCGTTATACATTAAACGCGCAGGACACGAATTCAAGCGTAAAGTTTACGCGTACGCGTAAATGCTATGCGCATGCATCAAGCATACCGTCCGTTATACATTAAACACGCAAGCGCACACGCATATTCGCAGCCGTCAAAGGTCTTACGCGCACGCGTAAAACGCCTGTGCGCATGTGCCGAAAGTTTTTAGCTTTGAGGTCCGGATTATGGGTGTCCGAATTAACGACTTTTGACTGTATTATGCATATGTTAATTAGAACTATTGTTAATAAGGATATAATAAAAATTATGTACTTTTCTCTTAAATTGTTCGACTTGTCAAGAAATGTATAATATATCATGTCAAATAGTAACATTGAGAAGTGATAATTTTCCTGTCATGTGTATATGATAAATTGAAGATCTTAATCCTAATGAATAAAAGCACTTTACAGGTCTGTGAATGGTAAAACACTTTGAATGTTCCAAAATCTAAGTAGCAAAAAGGCTAAGTTAATTTTGCATGTGAAAAGTGCATATTTAATTATGTTTGCAAGAAATTTACTGATAATAATAGCTGGTAATTTTCTCATGTGGAATCTTAGAAAATTTTCAAACTTTCTAATTCATTTTTCTATATGTTGCCTCTTAATAAATAATTTCTTCCATTTTTATGTTTATTGTATTGCAAAATTCAAGCATTATAACAAACAAATGAATGATTTTTTTTTATTCTTATTTATATTTATTTATTTTTAGAAACGTCTTGATGAGATTGACATGGATAAAGCCATTCAGTTTGTTCTATCTTGCATGAATTTTGATGGAGGATTTGGCTGCCGACCTGGTTCTGAAACACATGCTGGACAAGTAACTTTTTTAGAATTTATAGTAGTAATTTGCAATTTAAATTAGTGTATTTTAGCAAATCCTTTTATTATCTTTTATAGTATTTGCTTAAATAAAAATTATAATTTCTTGTAGAATTCAGTTAAAGATTTTTACTGAAAATTATGTCTTTTAAAATTCCATTGAAATTCTGAATAAAAATTATGATCACTTAAGAGAAAAACCAAATTTATTGTGATGTATAGTCTGATAATTTTGATATGAACAAAAATTTTGAGTAAAAAATCCAGAAATTTCAAATGAGAATTCAACTGAGATATCTCAAAGTGTGTGTGTGGTGGTGGGGGGGGATTTAAAATGAAAAGTTAAAATGAATGTATAATGAAAAAATTGAATAATTAGTATAATGAGATAATTGAATTTGATTTTGGACATGAATTTTACAGTTTATATATAGTTAAACTTTGCTTAGCTAACATGACCGTTATAATGACAGTTTTAAATTTTGCTGAAAATTTTATGTAAGTTTGGCTTGTCAGCAACTGAGAATTAGTTGATACTCTTATATATGATAATGATAATGTTGAGCAAAATATGTATGTATAATATACAATGTTTAAACAAACATGTAAATACTTAAAAAAGCAAAGTGGTATCCGTAAGTGCAAAACAGCCACCCGAGGGCTTCACCTATGCACCAGCAGTGAGAGAGAGGTGAAAGAGGAGGATGACATATAGACAGACAGTCTCCTATCCCACACGAAGGTGGTAAGACGTAGGTCTACATGTGAAGGTGTTAAATATGGAACTGTATGTTTTCACAGGAAGGTGGTAAATTGAACTGCATATATGACAGCAAGTGCGAATAAGCACTAAGCTGCTATGTTATAAAATTGGTAAAAGTTATCCAGAATCCTGTTTGTATTCAATGGCATTGTATTTAATTCAATCTGTACCTTTTCTGTTATTTTCATTAAATGTCATCTGTGATGTGGAAAATGTTGGAATTGTTATTTAGCATCTTCAACTTCCCTATCACACACACACACATATATGTATATTAAAAAGAAAAAATCTGATGTGTTCACCACATGACTTCCTTGTACGGAATATTAAATCATATGCATTTTTTCTTGCATTTCATTTAAACTTATTAGATTGAATTAAACCTACTTCGCCGAAGCACATAAACCACAATAGAATAAATGTATTCTTTAAAATTCACTTTGTTTACCTTAGCGACACTCTGGCGCTAGGTTTACTTAACAGTATTATATTTCGTTCATATTATAACTCAGAATGCACAAAATTTATATCATTTAAAAAATTATCTAATCATTGCCACATGTTCTATTCAAATGCTATAATAATGCTATAATTATAATATATAAATATATATATAATTTGGTTGATTAACCAAATTTAAAAATCGCCGTGGTATGAGGCAACTAAAAATTTCAGGTGGAAAAGCTTCAGCTGATATTGAAACTGCTGAACTATTAGCATATGAATTCATTGAACTCATTCATTGAACTAGTGAAAAATTATCTTCAAAAGAAATTTACAACCCTGATGAAACTGCTCTTTTGTGGCAATATGTACTACAAAATACCTTGGCAACCACTACAGAAAAGGCTCCAACTGGTGTCAAAGATTCTAAAGCGAGACTAACAATTTTAGCATGTGCAAATGCTGCAGGAATGCACAAGCACAAACTTTTTATAATCAGAAAAAAATACACAACTTCGTGCATTTAAAGGAGTGACAATTTTTCCCGTTATGTATCGTGCAAATAAAAAGAGCATGGATGACATAAGCATTAATGAATGATTGGTTTGAAAATCATTTTATTCCTGAGGCTCAGCAACATTTGAATTTGGTTGGTTTACCTGATGATGCAAAAACTGTCCTGATTATAGGCAACTGTTGAGCTCATGCTTCACTTAAAGTTTTAGTGAAAGATAATGTATCTGTATTATTCTTTTCTTCAAATTGTACATTCCTCATTCAACCTATGGACAGCAGAATAATGTGTGCACTGAAATGCAAATATAAAGTAGCATTTTTTAAAATCCATGTTAAATTTCTTGAACAATGGCAAGACTATTAAAGAATTTTAAAAATATTTTAGCATATGTTAAATTTCTTGAACAATGGCAAGACTATTAAAGAATTTTAAAAATATTTTAGCATAAAATCTGCTGTGTGGACCATTGCAAAATCATAAGAGGATATGTCTCCAGATACTTTAAAAAAAATGCTTGGCAGAATTTATGACCAGCTACCACATTTCATGGTTAGGCTGATTATGATAATAGCCACAAATTTGAAGGTTTTTGGATATCACAAGCCAAAGGTGAAATTTTCCAATTAATGGATTTTGTAAACAAATGGGGAAAAGCAGCAATAAATGGAGATGACAACAGAAATTTTTCATTGCGATGGCAATGCTCCAATCATCAGTCAATTATTAATGGACGGCGAAATCTATAGTGTGGTTCTAGATCCAGAAAATACCGCTACTGATAGTGAAGAAAGTGACAGAGTGGTTATTGAAAACCAAAAACTTTCGATTTACATTGTAAGGATCCTAAGTTTTACTAACGTTTATTTTATTTTAAAACTGTACTATCACTTCTTATTTTCTACTTCCGACCAGAATTAAACGCTTTAATTCTGGCCAGACTTATTTATGCAAATTGTCTTGCTAATGCCAAGTACTTAAGTTGTGAGGCTTTTTGCCAAGCAAGAGAGAGGAAGGAGTTATTGGAAGCAAGCCGCTTGCCACTGTAGTTTTACGAGTTTTCACTCTGTTGCTGGTTGCCTTCAAGGCCAGAGGTTTAGCCGTCTTGATAATTGCAGACGTATCATAGTTTTAGCAGCTTGGTGTACTACATACGTACCTTTCTTTAAATAAAGGCCAATCTTAGTGCTAGGCACTTGTATATGAATTCAAAGTTAGTTTTAGTTAGTAGTTTTTATATTCTTACGTTCAGTCAACAAGTGGTTGGTCTCTGTATTCCGAAGTTTCAGAAATTCCTGTAAAGTATAGAAAATAAAGGGTTTCGTATACCCTTCCTGCTTGTATTGTCTACTTCACACATTCTTGAACATAGCTTGAGTAAGCTCCCTGTTCCTATTCAGTCATGTTTCCAAAGCAAGTCAAAAGAAACACTAGTCCTGATAACATATTAGTCAGAATTCTGGATAGACTGACAGGACTTGAACAGTGGAACTTTGTAACTGAACAAAAAATTATGTCTGTTTATAGAATTAAAGGGAAAGTATTAGCACAAAAAGGAAGCAACTTAAACAACTTACATTTAAAGAAATGTTTAATAAAGTAAACAAATATTAAGCCTTTTTTTTTTTTTTTTTTTTTTTTTTTTTTTTTTTTTTTTTTTTTTTTTTGTAAATTTTGATACCCTTTAGATCACAAATCACTTTTCATATTTTTAATTTTATAATTTCTTCATGCCATTTTACTAGATTTAAATTGGTGATCTGATATCTGGAAAAATCTCAAATTCGGAATCTCCGAAATCCTGACGAGTCCAGATCTTGGACTTTGTACTGTATCATTAAAGCAAGAAGAGTATGATGGTATTGGTCATGAAGGAAGATAATTAAAACACTGAGCTTTGCAAGCATTTTCAGTAGTAGAAGGTTTAATTTTATGGTGTTGTTCCTTCATTTTCATAGGTATGAAACTTTTGATACTGAAATCTAAAACATTTTGGACTCTAGAAACAATTTATTGGAAATTTATGCACTTAATAAAGATATCTGCATTGACAAAAGTCTGTTATCATGTTAGGAAAGAATTCTTGTATTTGTAAAACTTTGCTCAAAGTTGTTTACAGTATTTGCCACTCAAGAGAGTACAATTTGGTGTCAAGATATTAGTGCTTTGTGAATCTGAAGCTGGCTGTGTACACTCAGACCTTGGGGGTACACTCAGACCCTCCTGTCCACGAAGTGGCCTTATGGTAAAAAAAAAAAAAAAAGAGTGACCCCCCAAAAGAAGCTGATTGTGTATGATCAATAATTGTATACTTTGGAAATGGCACTAAAAATTTCAGTAATATAAAAACTATTTGTTCGCAGTGTAGATAACTTTGGTGGTCGTGTGCTTAATGCATGATATAATTAAAGAAAATAAGAGTAGACAATCTCCTATAACAAAAGAATATATTAAGTGCTAAGTTACAATTTAAATTACATTGCAGAGATCAACACAGAGATCGGAACACAGTTCATGCTACCGTCGCGTACAGTTGTCTGACGAGAAGTCTGAGTGAGTAATGACTTCGCTTTGCTGCTCCGATTAAGAACTGGATTTTACACGTGGCGCCATCTCATGAATAGAAGTTGAAGTATCTGTCGGAACGCCACAGTACTCCCCCCCAAGTACCATCGGTACGTTATAAGTACTTTGGGTTAAATTTAACCTTTCTTCCAGATCTGGTAGTTTTAGGTTGCTCTTTAACGGGATGTAAGCTTTCTTCCGGGAGTGATGTTGATGAGGAAGTTGTTGGATCTTGCATTAGAAATGCTGGTTTGAGACGATCGATTCCAATCACTGATTGTTTGCCATTGCAGATGATGGTGAAATGTTTCGGTGTTCGTTTGACAACTTTGAATGGACCATCATATGAAGGTGTTAAAGTTGGCTTAATTGCATCGTTGCGCACGAATACGTGCGAAGATGTCTCAAGCGCAGGATGTACAAAATAGCTTGGCTGGTTATGCGAAGATGCTGGGGTTGGCGAGATATTGCTCATGGTCTCACGTAAACGTTGAAGGAATGTTGGAGGGTCGATAACTGGAGTAGATTCTGGGTGAAAGAATTCACCTGGCAGACGGAGGGTTGCACCATATAACATTTCAGCACAAGTGCTACCAATGTCTTCTTTGAATGCTGTGCGAAGACCAAGCAAGACTAGGGGTAAGGCTTCTGTCCAGTGTGTGCTACTGTGGCACTTCAGACCTTGTTTGAGAGATCGGTGAAAGCGTTCCAC